CCTAAAAGTGGCCGCAAATGTGTCCTCAAAATGTCCTAAAAGTGTCCCCAAAATGGCCCCAAATGTGTCACCAAGTGTGTCCCAAAATGGAGAAAAATGGGTTCAAAATGGCCCCAAGATGGCCGCCGATGTGCCTCAAAATGGCCACCAGTGTGCCCAAATCTGCCCCAAAATGGGCCCAAAATGTCCTAAAAGTGGCCACAAATGTGTCCTCAAAATGTCCTAAAAGTGGCCGCAAATGTGTCACCAAGTGTGTCCCAAAATGGAGAAAAATGGGTCCAAAATGGCCCCAAGATGGCCGCCGATGTGCCTCAAAATGGCCACCAGTGTGCCCAAATCTGCCCCAACATGGGCCCAAAATGTCCTAAAAGTGGCTGCAAATGTGTCCTCAAAATGTCCTAAAAGTGTCCCCAAAATGGCCCCAAATGTGTCACCAAGTGTGTCCCAAAAGGGTTCCAAAATGGCTCCCAAAAACTGGGTCCAAAATGGCCCCAAGATGGCCGCCTATGTGGTCAAAATGGCCACCAGTGTGGCCAAATCTGCGTCAAAATGGGCCCAAAATGTCCTAAAAGTGGCCGCAAATGTGTCCTCAAAATGTCCTCAAAGTGTCCCCAAATGTGTCACCAAATGTGTCACCAAGTGTGTCCCAAAATGGAGAAAAATGGGTCCAAAATGGGCCCAAGATGGCCGCCTATGTGGTCAAAATGGCCACCAGTGTGCCCAAATCTGCCCCAAAATGGGCCCAAAATGTCCTCAAAGTGGCCGCAAATGTGTCCTCAAAATGTCCTAAAAGTGTCCCCAAATGTGTCACCAAGTGTGTCCCAAAATGGAGAAAAATGGCCCCAAAATGGCCCCAAGATGGCCGCCGATGTGCCTCAAAATGGCCGCCAGTGTGCCCAAATCTGCCCCAAAATGGGCCAAAAATGTCCTAAAAGTGGCCACAAATGTGTCCTCAAAATGTCCTAAAAGTGTCCCCAAAATGGCCCCAAATGTGTCACCAAGTGTGTCCCAAAATGGAGAAAAATGGGTTCAAAATGGCCCCAAGATGGCCGCCAATGTGCCTCAAAATGGCCACCAGTGTGCCCAAATCTGCCCCAAAATGTCCTAAAAGTGGCCGCAAATGTGTCCTCAAAATGTCCAAAAAGTGTCCCCAAAATGGCCCCAAATGTGTCACCAAGTGTGCCCAAAAAAGGTCCCAAAATGGCCCCAAATGTGTCACCAAGTGTGTCCTAAAGTGGCCCCATAGCTCCCACAAAATGGCCGCCAATGTTCCCAAAATGGCACAAAATGTTCCCCAAAATGGCCCCAAAATGTTCCCCAAAATGGCCCCAAATTGTGCCACAAATGTGTCTTCAAAATGTCCTAAAAGTGTCCCCAAATGTGTCACCAAGTGTGTCCCAAAAGGGTCCCAAAATGGCTCCCACAAAATGGCTGCTAATGTTCCCAAAATGGCACAAAATGTTCCCCAAATTGGTCCCAAAATGTTCCCCAAAATGGCCCCAAATTGTGCCACAAATGTGTCCTCAAAATGTCCTAAAAGTGTCCCCAAATGGCCCCAAATGTGTCACCAAGTGTGTCCCAAAATGGAGAAAAATGGGTCCAAAATGGCCCCAAGATGGCCGCCAATGTGCCTCAAAATGGCCACCGGTGTGCCCAAATCTGCCCCAACATGGGCCCAAAATGTCCTAAAAGTGGCCGCAAATGTGTCCTCAAAATGTCCTAAAAGTGTCCCCAAATGTGTCACCAAGTGTGTCCCAAAAGGGTCCCAAAATGGCTCCCACAAAATGGCCGCCAATGTTCCCAAAATGGCACCAAATGTTCCCCAAAATGGGCCCAAAATATCCTAAAAATGACCCCAAATGTGTCCCCAAAATGTCCTAAAAGTGTCCCCAAATATGTCCCCAAATGTGTCCCCAAATGTGATCCAAAATGGCCCCAAAATGGCCCCAAAATGGCTCCCACAAAATGGCTGCCAATGTGCCCAAAATGGCACCAAATGTTCCCCAAAATGGGCCCAAAATATCCTAAAAATGACCCCAAATGTGACCCCAAAATGTCCAAAAAGTGTCCCCAAATATGTCCCCAAATGTGTCCCCAAATGTGATCCAAAATGGCCCCAAAATGGCTCCCACAAAATGGCCGCCAATGTGCCCAAAATGGCACCAAATGTTCCCCAAAATGGTCCCAAAATGGCAAAAAATGTTCCCCAAAATGGGCCCAAAATATCCTAAAAATGACCCCAAATGTGTCCCCAAAGTGTCCTAAAAGTGACCCAAAATATGTCCCCAAATGTGTCCCCAATGGCCCTAAAATGGCCCCAAAATAGCTCCCGCAAAATGGCCGCCACTGTTCCCAAAATGGCACCAAATGTTCCCCAAAATGGTCCCAAAATGGTCCCAAAATGTTCCACAAAATGTTCTCTAAAATTGTCCCAAATGTCCTAAAAGTGACCCCAAATGTGTCCCCAAATGTGATCCAAAATGGCCCCAAATGTGTCCCCAAGTGTGTCCCAAAATGTCCCCAAAGTTTGTCCCAAAATGGCCCCAAAATGGGCACCAAAGTTGCCAAAATTGTCCCAAATTGTCCCAAATGTCTCCAGGATTTCCAATGTCCCCAAAAGCCCAAATGTCCCCAATGTCCCCAATGTCCCCAATGTCCTCAAATGTCCCCAATCTCCCCAATGTCCCCAATGTCCCCAATGTCCCCAATGTCCCCAATGTCCTCAAATGTCCCCAATGTCCCCAATGTCCCCAATGTCCCCAATGTCCCCAATGTCCCCCCAATGTCCCAACGTCCCCAATGTCCCCAACGTCCCCAATGTCCCCAACGTCCCCAATGTCCCCCCAATGTCCCAAATGTCCCCCAATGTCCCCAATGTCCCCAATGTCCCCAATGTCCCCAATGTCCTCAAATGTCCCCAATGTCCCCAATGTCCCCAATGTCCCCAACGTCCCTGATGTCCCCAATGTCCCCAATGTCCTCAATGTCCCCAATGTCCCCAATGTCCTCAATGTCCCCAATGTCCCCAATGTCCTCAATGTCTCCAGCTCCCCAATGTCCCAAATGTCCCCAATGTCCCCAATGTCCCCAATGTCCCCAATCCCCCCAATGTCCCCAATGTCCCAAATGTTCTCTAAGTACCAAAATTTCTCCAACATCTCCAATGTCCCCAATGTCCCCAATGTCCCCAATGTCCCCAATGTCCCCAATGTCCCCCAATGTCCCCAAATTCCCCAAATGTCTCCAACATCTCCAATGTCCCCAATGTCCCCAAAGTCCCCAATGTCCTCAAATGTCCCCAATGTCCCCAATGTCCCCAATGACCCCAATGTCCCCAAACACCCCCAATGTCCCCAATGTCCCCAATGCCCCCAATGTCCCCCAATGTCCCCCAATGTCCCCAATGTCCCCAATGTCCCCCCAATGTCCCAAATGTTCTCAATGTCCCAAATGTTCCCAATGTCCCAAATGTCCCAAATGTTCTCTAAGTACCAAAATTTCTCCAACATCTCCAATGTCCCCAAAGTCCCCAATGGCCCCCAATGTCCCCAATGTCCCCAATGTCCCCCAATGTCCCCAATGTCCCCCAACGTCCCCAATGTCCTCAAACGTCTCCAATGTCCCCAATGTCCCAAATGTTCTCAAAGTCCCCAAATGTCACCAACATCTCCAATGTCCCCAATGTCCCCAATGTCCCAATCCCCCCAATGTCCCCAATGTTCCCAATGTCCCCAATGTCCCCAATGTCCCCAATGTCCCCCCAGTGTCCCCAATGTCCCCAATGTCCCCAATGTCCCCAATGTCCCCAATGTTCTCAAAGTCCCCAAATGTCGCCAACATCTCCAATGTCCCCAATGTCCCCAATGTCCCCCAAATGTCCCAATGTCCCCAAACATCCCCAATGTCCCCAATGTCCTCAAAGTCCCCAAATGTCTCCAATGTCCCCAATGTCCCCAAAGTGTCAAATGTCCCAATGTCCCCAATGTCCCCAAAGTCCCCAAAGTCCCCAATGTCCCCAATGTCCCCAATCCCCCCAATGTCCTCAAAGTCCCCAATGTCCCCAATCCCCCCAAATGTCCCAAATGTCCCCAACATTCCCAATGTCCCCAATGTCCCAAATGTCCCCAATGTCCCCAACGTCCCCAACGTCCCCAACGCCCCAATGTCCCCAATGTCCCCAATGTCCCCAACGTCCCCAATGTCCCCAATGTCCCCAAAGTCCCCAAAGTCCCCAAAGTCCCCAATGTCCCCAATGTCCCCAATGTGCCCCAATGTCCCCAATGTCCCCCCAATGTCCCCAATGTCCCCAATGTCCCCAATGTCCCCAATGTCCCCAATATCCCCAATGTCCTCAAATGTCCCCAACGTGTCCAATGTCCCCCAATGTCCCCAATGTCCCCAGTGTCCCCAATGTCCCAAATGTTCTCAAAGTCCCCAAATGTCGCCAACATCTCCAATGTCCCCAATGTCCCAAACATCCCCAATGTCCCCAACGCCCCCAATGTCCCCAATGTCCCCAATGTCCCCAATGTCCTCAAATGTCCCCAATGTGTCCAATGTCCCCAATCTCCCGAACGTCCCCAATGTCCCCCCAATGTCCCCAATGTCCCCAATGTCCCCCCAATGTCCCCAATGTCCCCAATGTCCTCAAACATCTCCAATGTCCCCAACGTCCCCAACGTCCCCAACGTCCCCAATATCCCCCAATGTCCCCAATGTCCCCAACGTGTCAAATGTCCCCAATGTCCCCCATGTCCCCAATGTCCCCCAATGTCCCCAATGTCCCCAATGTCCCCAAAGTCCCCAAATGTCCCCAATGTCCCCAATGTCCCCAATGCCCCCCATGTCCCCAATGTCCCCCAATTTCCCCAATGTCCCCCCAATGTCCCAATGTCCCCAATTTCCCCAATGTCCCCAATCCCCCAATGTCCCCAACGCCCCCAATGTCCACAATGTCCCCTCTGTCCCCAATGTCCCCAATGTCCCCGCTGTCCCCTGACCTCTCAGTGGTGGCCACACCATCTTGGGCAGCTCCTGGCAGAGGCGCCGCCGCTGCCGCAGCCGCTGTCCCCACCGGCTGTCCTGGGCCAGCGCCTGCGCCACCGTGTCCCCAAGTGTCCCCAAGAGTCCCCCCTGCTGGCACGGGCCACCGCGGGGTCCCCGCAGGTCCCCGCAGACCAGCGGCATCCGGGACAGCGCCACCTCCACGTCCTGCGAGCCGTTGGTGGCCACCAAGGAACCGTCGGTGGCCAACCAGCAGCTGGAGGCCACCTGCAGCACGAACGGGGCTGGAGGCCACCAAAAAAGGGATTTTTAAAGGGATTTTTTGGGGTTTTTTGGGATTTTCTTGGTTTTTTGGGGTGTTTTGGAAATATATTGGTTTTTGGGGTTTTTTTTTGGGGTGTTTTGGGAATTTCTTGGTTTTTTTGGGGTTTTTTTGGGGTGTTTTGGGAATTTCTTGGTTTTTTGGGGGGTTTTGGGGGTTTTTTGGGGATTTTTTTTGGTTTTTTAGGGGTTTTTTTGGGTTTTTTGTTGTTGTTTTTTAGGGTTTTTTTGGGTTTTTTGGGGGGATTTTCTTGGATTTTTTCTGGTATTTTTTGTGGGTTTTTGGGGTATTTTTTGAGATTTTTTAGGATTTTTTTCTGAGATTTTTTTGGTGAGATTTTTGGGGATTTTTTTTAGGGATTTTTTGGATTTCTTGTGATTTTTAAAAAAAAATTTAATATTTTATTGGATTTTTTGGGATTTTTGAGTTTTTTTGGATTTTTTGGCTTTTATTGGATTTTTTTATTTTCTCGAGATTTTTTTGCATTTTCTGTCTTTTTGGGGGATTTCTTGAGGTTTTTTTGGGGTGTTTTGGGAATATACTGGTTTTTTGGGGTTTTTTGGGGTGTTTTGGGAATTTCTTGGTTTTTTGGGGGATTTTTTGGGGTGTTTTGGAATTTCTTGGTTTTTTGAGGGTTTTGGGTGTTTTGGGAATTTCTTGGGTTTTTGGGGTTTTTTTGGGTTTTTTTTTTAAATTTTCTTGGATTTTTTTTTTGTATTTTTCGGGTTTTTGGGATATTTTTTGAGATTTTTTTAGGAATTTTTGGGGATTTTTTTGGTGAGATTTTTGGGGGATTTTTTTAGGGATTTTTTGGATTTCTTGTGATTTTTTTTAAAATTTATATTATTTTATTGGATTTTTTGGGATTTTTGGGATTTTTTTTAAGGACTTTTTGTTTTTTGGGGGATTTTTAATTTTTTATTTTTAAATTTTTTTTTTTTTTTTGGAGATTTTTTGTTTTTTCTCTGGATTTTTTGCTGATATTTTCTTTGACTTTTGGGTGAATATTTTGGTGATTTTTAAAATATTTTAAAGTACTTTTGGTGGTTTTATTGTGATTTTAATGGGACTTTTTTGCTGTTTTTTTGTGGTTTATGAGGAATTTTTTGCCGATTTTTTGGAATTTGGGGGGCTTTGGGCTATTAGGGAGGATTTTATGGGAATTTTTGGGGAATTTGGGGTTTTTTTTAAGTTTTCCGGTTGATTTTGGGCAATTTCCTCCCCAAATCCGCCCCCTCAAAAGGCAGAGGCCCCTCAAACCTCCCCAAATTCCCAATTTTTCACCCCAAAATCCGCTCCACTCCCCCCAAAATTTATAGGGCGGAGCCCCCCCAGCCTCACCCTCATCCCCAACTTTCCCTTTTCCCAAATTTTCCCAAATTTTCCCAAATTTTCCCCAAATTTTCCCGCCAAAACCCCGCTGCCACAAGGCAGAGCCCCCCCAAACCTCCCCAAATTCCCAATTTTTCACCCCAAAATCCGCTCCAGCCCCCCCAAAATTTATAGGGCGGAGCCCCCCCAGCCCCGCCTTCATCCTCGACTCCCCTTTTCCCAAATTTTCCCAAATTTTCCCAAATTTTCCCCAAATTTTTTCCCGCCAAAACCCCACTGGCACAAGGCAGAGCCCCCCCAAACCTCCCCAAATTCCCAATTTTTCACCCCAAAATCCGCTCCAGCCGCCCCAAACCTCATAGGGCGGAGCCCCCCCAGCCTCACCCTCATCCCCGACTTCCCCTTTTCCCAAATTTCCCCAAATTTTCCCCAAATTTTTTCCCGCCAAAACCCCACTGGCACAAGGCAGAGCCCCCCCCAAACCTCCCCAAATTCCCAATTTTTCACCCCAAAATCCGCTCCACTCCCCCCAAAATTTATAGGGCGGAGCCCCCCCAGCCTCACCCTCATCCCCGACTTCCCCTTTTCCCAAATTTTCCCAAATTTTCCCCATTTTTCCCGGATTTTTCCCCCCAAACCCGCGCTCCTCACCCGCCCCGGGGGCTCCGAGCGCCGCCAGCAGCAGCGGCAGCATCGCGAACTGGGACGAACTGGGACGAACTGGGACGAACTGGGAGGCACTGGGAGGAACTGGGAGGAACTGGGAGGAACTGGGAGGAACTGGGAGGAACTGGGAGGAACTGGGAGGAACTGGGAGGTGGTTTCGGGGGAGGTTTGGGGACATTTGGGGACATTTTTTGGGGCAGCCAATGGGAGCGCGCGGAGGGTTCGCGTCACTTGTTGCCAGGCAGGACTGAGGCGGCAGCGGCCGCGAGCGGGACTTGGAGCGAACTGGGAGAACTGGGAGGGACTGGGAGGGACTGGGAGGGAACTGGGAGGGAACTGGGAGGGACTGGAAATGGACTGGGGGGGACTGGGATGGACTGGGAGGGACTGGGATGGACTGGGAATAGACTGGGAGCGAACTGGGAGGGACTGGGAGCACGGGGGGGGACTGGGAGGGACTGGGAGCGAACTGGGAGGGACTGGGAGGGACTGGGAGGGACTGGGAGGGACTGGGAGGGACTGGGAGGGAACTGGGAGGGAACTGGGGGGAACTGGGGGGACTGGGAGGGACTGGGATGGACTGGGAGGGACTGGGAGGGACTGGGAGGGACTGGGATGGACTGGGAATAGATTGGGAGCGAACTGGGAGAACTGGGAGGGACTGGGAGGGACTGGGATGGACTGGGAGGGACTGGGAGGGACTGGGAGGGACTGGGAGGGAACTGGAATGGACTGGGAGAACTGGGAGGGAACTGGGAGGGACGGGGGGGACTGGGGGAACTGGGAGGGACTGGGGGGGACTGGGAGGGAACTGGGAGGGACTGGGAGGGACTGGGAGGGACTGGAGGGACTGGGAGGGACTGGGTGTACTGGGAATAGATTGGGAGCGAACTGGGAGAGCTGGGAGGGAACTGGGAGTGACTGGGAGGGACTGGGGGGAACTGGGAGGGAACTGGGGGAGACTGGAAATGGACTGGGAGGGACTGGGAGCACTGGCAGGGACTGGGATGGACTGGGAGCACTGGGAACTGTTACTGGGAGCCGTTACTGGGAGCACTGGGAGCCACCCCGGGACAGGGACTGGGACCAGGATCAGGATTGGGATTAGAACCGGGACCAGAACCAGGATCAGGATCAGGATAAAACCGGGATAAAACCGGGATCAGGATCAGGATAAAACCGGATCGGGATCAGGATAAAACCGGGATCAGGATCAGGATCAGGATAAAACCGGGATCAGGATCAGGACCGGAACCGGGATAAAACCGGGATCAGGATCAGAATAAAACCGGGATCAAGACCAGGATAAAACCGGGATCAGGATCAGAACCGGAACCGGGACTACAGGGTCAGGACTAAAACCAGGACCAGGATCAGGATCAGAACCAGGACCAGGACTAAAACCAGGACCAGGATCAGAACCAGGACCAGGATCAGAACCTGGATCGGGACTAAAACCAGGACCAGGACCAGAACCTGGATCGGGACTAAAACCGGGACCAGGATCAGAACCTGGATCGGGACTAAAACCAGGACCAGGATCCGGACCAGAACCTGGATGGGGACTTGGATTGGGATCAGGGTCAAGGACTGGGATCAGGACCAGGACTAAAACCAGGACCAGGATCAGAACCTGGACCAGGACTAAAACCAGGACCAGGATCAGAACCAGGATCGGGACTAAAACCAGGACCAGGATCAGGACTAAAACCAGGACCAGGATCAGAACCAGGACCAGGACTTGGATCAGGATCAGGACCAGGACTAAAACCAGGACCAGGATCAGAACCAGGATCAGGACTACAGGGTCAGGACTAAAACCAGGACCAGGATCAGAACCTGGATCGGGACTAAAACCAGGACCAGGATCAGAACCTGGATCGGGACTAAAACCAGGACCAGGACCAGGATCAGAACCTGGATCGGGACTAAAACCAGGACCAGGATCAGGATCAGAACCTGGATCGGGACTAAAACCAGGACCAGGACCAGGATCAGAACCTGGATCGGGACTAAAACCAGGATCAGGATCAGAACCAGGACCAGGACTTGGATCAGGATCAGGACCAGGACTAAAACCAGGACCAGGATCAGGATCAGAACCAGGACCAGGACTAAAACCAGGACCAGGATCAGGATCAGGACCAGGACTACAGGGTCAGGACTAAAACCAGGACCAGGACCAGGATCAGAACCAGGATCAGGACTAAAACCAGGACCAGGATCAGGATCAGAACCTGGATCGGGACTAAAACCAGGACCAGGACCAGGATCAGAACCTGGATCGGGACTAAAACCAGGACCAGGATCAGGACTAAAACCAGGACCAGGACCAGGATCAGAACCAGGATCAGGACTAAAACCAGGACCAGGACCAGGATCAGAACCAGGATCAGGACTAAAACCAGGATCAGGATCAGGATCAGAACCTGGATCAGGACTAAAACCAGGACCAGGATCAGGACTAAAACCAGGACCAGGACCAGGATCAGAACCTGGATCGGGACTAAAACCAGGACCAGGATCAGGATCAGGATCAGGGATCAGAACTAAAACCAGGACCAGGATCAAAACCAGGATCAGGACTAAAACCAGGATCAGGACTAAAACCAGGACCAGGACCAGGACCAGAACCAGGATCGGGACTAAAACCAGGACCAGGACCAGGATCAGAACCTGGATCGGGACTAAAACCGGGACCAGGATCAGAACCTGGATCGGGACTAAAACCAGGACCAGGACCAGGACTAAAACCAGGACCAGGACCAGGATCAGGACCTGGATCGGGACTAGAACCAGGCCTGGGACAAACGAGGACGCGGCTCTGCCAAAGCCGGGTTTATTTTGGACAGGTCGGGTTCACTCGCGGGTTCCCACGGGACGAGCTCAGCCTGTGAACAGAAACCCAAAATTGGGGACGGTGCCACTGGGCACCCCTGGATTGGGACTGGGATTGGGGCTGGGACTGGGATTGGGACTGGGACTGGGATTGGGACTGGGATTGGGGCTGGGATTGGGACCAGGACTGGGATTTGGACCAGGATTGGGACTGGGACTGGGATTTGGACCAGGATTGGGACTGGGATTGGGGCTGGGACTGGGACTGGGATTGGGGCTGGGACTGGGATTGGGACCGGGACTGGGACCAGGATTGGGATTTGGGCTGGGACTGGGAATGGGACCAGGACTGGGATTTGGACTGGGACCGGGACCAGAACTGAGACTGGGATCAGAATTAGGACTGGGATCAGGACGGGGATTGGGGCTTGGATCAGGACCGGGACTGGGACTGGGACTGGGACCGGGATCAGAATTAGGACTGGGACCGGGACTGGGACCAGGACTAGAACCGGGATCAGGATCGGGACCAGAACCGGGATCAGGACCAGAACCGGGATCGGGACTGGGACCAGAACTGGGATCGGGACCAGAACCGGGATCAGGACCAGAACCGGGATCAGGATCAGAACCAGGATCAGGTTTAGGCCGGGTTTAGGCCGGGTTTAGGCTGGGTTCAGGCTGGGTTTAGGCCGGGTTTAGGCCAGGTTTAGCCCTTGTTTAGGCCAGATTTAGGCCAGGTTTAGGCCGGGTTTAGGCCAGGTTTAGGCTGGGTTTAGGCCAGGTTTAGGCCGGGTTTAGGCCGGGTTTAGGCCGGGTTTAGGCCGGGTTTAGGCCAGGTTTAGGCTGGGTTTAGGCCGGGTTTAGGCCGGGTTTAGGCCGGGTCTAGGCCGGGTTTAGGCCGGGTTTAGCCCTGGTTTAGGCCGGGTTTAGGCCGGGTTTAGGCCAGGTTTAGGCCAGGTTTAGGCCGGGTTTAGGCCGGGTTTAGGCCGGGTTTAGGCCGGGTTTAGGCCGGGTTTAGGCCGGGTTTAGGCCGGGTTTAGCCCTGGTTTAGGCCGGGTTTAGGCCGGGTTTAGCCCTGGTTTAGGCTGGGTTTAGGCTGGGTTTAGGCCAGGTTTAGGCCGGGTTTAGGCCGGGTTTAGGCCGGGTTTAGCCCTGGTTTAGGCCGGGTTTAGGCCGGGTTTAGGCCAGGTTTAGGCCGGGTTTAGGCCGGGTTTAGGCCGGGTTTAGGCCGGGTTTAGGCCGGGTTTAGGCCAGGTTTAGGCCGGGTTTAGGCCGGGTTTAGGCCGGGTTTAGGCCAGGTTTAGCCCTGGTTTAGGCCGGGTTTAGGCCGGGTTTAGGCCGGGTTTAGGCCGGGTTTAGGCCGGGTTTAGCCCGTACCGTCGCGGGCCAGCAGGGCCAGGCCGGCCCCCAGCAGGGCCAGGACGAGCCCCAGGGCCAGCGCGGCTCCGGCCAGCGCCGTGTCCAGCTGCTCGTCCAGCGCCGCGTCCGGAGCCACTGCGGACACCGAGCCCGTCACTCCCGGCCCCAAAAATCACCCCCAGAACCCCCAAAATAACCCCAAAAATCACCCAAAAGAACCCCAAAGATACTCCAAGAATACCCCCAAAATCACCCAAAATAATCCCAAAAATCACCCAAAAAGAACCCCAAAGATACTCCAAGAATACCCCCAAAATCACCCAAAATAATCCCAAAAATCACCCAAAAAGAACCCCAAAGGTACTCCAAGAATACCCCCAAAATCACCCAAAATAATCCCAAAAATCACCCAAAAAGAACCCCAAAGATACTCCAAGAATACCCCCAAAATCACCCAAAATAATCCCAAAAATCACCCAAAATGAACCCCAAAGATACCCCCAAAATCACCCAAATGTAGCCCAAAAATACCCCCAAAACCCCACAGAATTCAACCAAAAATCCCTCCAAAAACCCCAAAAATTCAACCAAAAATCCCCAAAAAAATCACCCAAAAGTCACCCAAAACCCCCCAAAAATCCCTAAAAACCAACAAAAAAAACCCGCCAAAAATACAAAAAAACCCAAAAAAATTCCCCCAAAAAAACCCTAAAATCCCTAAAAGTCACAAAAATCACCCAAAAAACCCCAAAAAACCCCTAAAATCACCTTAAACCCACCTGAAAAACACCCAAAAATCACTAAAAAAACCACCAGAAAATCCACGAAAATCCCACAAAAACTCCCCAAAAACTCCCCAAAAATCTCCAAAAAATCCCCAAAAATCACCCAAAACCACCCCAAAAACCCCAAAAAACCCCTAAAATCACCTTAAACCCACCTGAAAACCACCCAAAACTCACTGAAAAAAACACCAAAATCCCACAAAATCCCACAAAAATCACCGTAAAAACACCAAAAAACCCCAAAAAAAACCCAAAAAAATCCCAAAAAATCCCAAAGCACCCAAAATCACCCAAAAAACCCCAAAAAACCCCTAAAATCACCTTAAACCCACCTGAAAAACACCCAAAAATCACTGAAAAAAACACCAGAAAATCCCCAAAAATCCCACAAAAATCACCGAAAAACGCCAAAAAATCACCATAAAAACACCAAAAAAACGCCAAAAAACCCCCAAAAAATCCCAAAATCACCCAAAAACCCCCAAAAAAATCCTAAAATCACCTAAAACCCACCTGAGAAACACCCAAAAATCACTGAAAAAAAAACCAGAAAATCCCCAAAATCCCACAAAAATCACCGAAAAAATGCCAAAAATCCCAAAAAATCCCCCAAAAAATCCTAAAAAATCCCAAAGCACCCCAAAATCACCCAAAAAAACCCCAAAAAAACCCTAAAACCACCTTAAACCCACCTGAAAAACACGCAAAAATCACCGAAAAAACCACCAGAAAACCCCAAAAATCCCACAAAAATCACCGTAAAAACGCCAAAAAACCCCAAAAAAACCCCAAAAAAATCCCCAAAAAATCCCAAAGCACCCCAAAATCACCCAAAAAACACCCCAAAAAACCCCTAAAATCACCTTAAACCCACCTGAAAAACACCCAAAAATCACTGAAAAAACCACCAGAAAATACCCAAAAATCCCACAAAAACTCCCCAAAAATCCCCAAAAACCTCCCAAAAATCCCTAAAAAACCCCAAAATCTCCCAAAAACCCAAAAAAACCCTAAAATCACCTTAAACCCACCTGAAAAACACCCAAAAATCACTGAAAAAAACACCAGAAAATCCCCAAAAATCCCACAAAAACTCCCCAAAAAATCCCCAAAAAATCTCCAAAAAATCCCCCAAAAAATCACCCAAAAGTCACCCAAAAGCCCCCAAAAATCCCTAAAATCACCTTAAACCCACCTGAAAAACACCCAAAAATCACTGAAAAAACCACCAGAAAATCCACAAAAATCCCACAAAAATCACCGAAAAAACGCCAAAAAAACGCCAAAAAAACCCCAAAAAAACCCCAAAAAATCCCAAAAAAACCCCAAAAAATCCCAAAGCACCCAAAAATCACCCAAAAAAACCCCAAAAAAACCCCTAAAATCACCTTAAACCCACCTGAAAAACACCCAAAAATCACTGAAAAAACCACCAGAAATCCCCAAAAATCCCACAAAAATCACCGTAAAAACACCAAAAAATCACCGAAAAACCCCAAAAAAATCCCAAAAATCCAAAAATCACCCAAAATCACCCAAAATCACCCACAATCACCCAAAAAAATCCCTAAAATCACCTTAAACCCACCTGCAAAACACCCAAAAATCACTGAAAAAACCACCAGAAAATCCCCAAAAATCCCACAAAAATCACCGTAAAAACGCCAAAAAAATGCCAAAAAACCTCCAAAAAACCCCAAAAAATCCCCAAAAAATCCCAAAGCACCCCAAAATCACCCAAAAAAAACCCTAAAATCACCTTAAACCCACCTGAAAAACACCCAAAATCACTGAGAAAACCACCAGAAAATCCCCAAAAATCCCACAAAAATCACCGAAAAAACGCCAAAAAATCACCAAAAAATCCCCCAAAAAACCCCAAAAAAAACCCCAAAAAAATCCCAAAAAATCCCAAACCACCCCAAAATCCCCCCAAAAACCCCTAAAATCACGTTAAAAATCACCGAAAAAAACACCAAAAACCCCAAAAATCCCACAAAAACTCCCCAAAAATCCCCCAAAAATCTCCACAAAATCCCCCAAAAAATGACCAAAATCACCAAAAATCACCCAAAAACACCCAAAAAACCCCTAAAATCACCTTAAACCACCTAAAAAACACCAGAAAATCACCGAAAAAACCACCAGAAAATCCCTAAAATCACTGAAAAAACGCCAAAAAACCTCCAAAAAACCCCAAAAAAACCCCAAAAAAATCCCAAAAA